TAAAAAGAATATTAATGTATTTTTTGTGAATTTCCAAAAATGTTCACAATTTTAAAAACATTCTTGAATTAAAATAAATTTAATAAATTTTAAAATTCTTCACGATTAATAAAAAATATTTATGAGTTCTAAAAGACTGTTCATGAGTTTTATAATTGTTCATGATTTTTAGTAATAGTCAGAATTTTTTTAAAAAAAATTTAAATGTAAAAAATCATGGATTTTAAAAATATATTCACATTTTTTATATTTATTTTGAATTTTAAAAAATATTCAAGATTTTGAATTATGTTCCTGAATTTTTAAAATATTCATAAATTTATAAAAAAATCATGAATTGTATAAAATAAAAATAAAATAAATATAAAAATGAACAGGAAAGTAAAACATGGACAAAAGGGTAGACAAAAAAAATAAAAAATAAAATGAAACCTTCCTACCTCAAGGATTGTCCTACATGACCAACCCAATACAGCCCGCGGGGGTCCGTGTTTGCTCGACCGCCTCCACAGTAAGCACGGAATGTGAATTGACATAATAAGTTTTGGGAGAAAATAGGCTTAATTTCAAAACCAAAGGACGGCGTTGTAAAGCGCATGTTATCCTGTAGTAGCTATGAAGTATCAAGTTATTAGAGTGACAATTGGTATAGATAGGGTCATTGCATACGGTTTAAAACCACACGAGCAGTCATGCACATGACTGGAGAAAACATGTGTAAATGGGTAGTCCGCCGCACACAAATTTCTAAAACAATGTGCGTGCGATGATTAAACAAATGCACACGGTCGAAAAATAAGCAAACATTTGTGACCAGGGATCTATCGCTTACATGTGTGTGATTGTTTGGACCATTACACACGATCACGAAAGGGGAAACGTTTGTGATTTAGGTCCTATTGGACACGGTTCAGAACACCTAAATGTGTGAGATTGTTTCAACCCCCACACACGCTTCATCTAAGTCTATGATGGTTCATTCCATTGTGCGTGTTGACCTTCTACTTTATGAGTGAGATTGCGTTTAGCATCGGACAAGGTTGATTTAA